TAAAAACCTGTTATTTCCCCCCCCCGCCCCCCCCCCCCGGCCAGTATTTCCAAAACTGTTCTTCATATTTGTACAAACATGAGAGTGCCTATACCCCAAAACCTGGATGATATATGATGCCCAAACATGCCCAAACATTGGTAACTTCAGACAATTTTTTGAAAGTTTAGCCTTTTGTTGTTGAGATTTTTGTTTTCTTTTGAATCTTATACCAGTCATTATAATATCTTTTTGTTTCTTATTAATAGTCTTCTAAAATACTTTTGAAGATTCACAGACTGTCAGAAATATTTCTTTATACAATTATGCTAGCTGATGGGAGAGCCAAATGTTAAAGCCAAATTGTTACCAGATCAGGTTAAAAATCCCAGACATGATTATACGTGAAAAGAAGTAAATTAATTTGATTACCTTGAAACTTGTAATTGAAGTTTTCTTATTTGCTTTTGCAAGTGTCTGATTCACCCACTTAATAATAATTTCATCATTTACTTTTTCCCCTTCTCCAAGGTCTGACAGTACATTCAAAGTATACCTTTAATAAAGAAAATAAGAGTCTGAGTCAAAGTAAATGGTAGAACTTGACTCTGCTAACAGTACAAAACAAATAAAAATAAAATATTAGTTCAGCACAGTAACAATGCCAAGTACTCATCTTCATAAGGTACCCTTACCTTATAAACTACTTAGTACTTTAAATCACTTTTTCAGTTGTTGCAAGAATAAAATAACATCCCAAAACTCCTAATATTCACTGTTACATCTTCTTATATTTGTTTTACTCAGCACATCATAGTTAATTTTACTTTATATTTTACTATATAAGCCCATTTATATGTATGGGCTCCCTACCCATCCAAGTCACCTTGAAAAGTGAACGACAGCAGTCAGAGACAAAAAGCATTCAGTGTATTGGGGTAGATCTAAAAAAATTAACTTGTGGAAAATACTTGCAATAAAATACTCTTTATTGAAATCAATTTATAATATATCTCTCTCCTGCTCAGTGTACTAGCAAGATTTTGATTTTATGACAGTTACATTACTATAGCTGTGATGGCCTAAAAATTTCTTCCCATTTTAACTTCCATAGCATACATCACCTCTTCCTATTGATCATTCTTTTTTGATTTTACAAATATTTAAATTACACTCTACTTACAGAAAGATGCAAGGAATCAACATGAGATAAGTTGTGCTCTTTTTACTTGCTGTGGGATTTATAATTTTAATCAGTTTTTAATATATAAGGTTTTATTTATCTCTATAAATGGATGTGTACACATACACACTATTGTGGTTTGAACCACTACACAGTATGTGAAACTACAAAAAAGTGTATAAGAGTTTAACTTAGAGAAGATAGATATTTAGAGATGGCTCTCTATGATACCTGTTGAGTGAGCTGAACACTAGCTTTAATTTGCCTTGATACAGAGCCACATATACATATATACACACATCTACCATATACTGTGCCTAACTTACCTTCTCATCAGCTGCCATATCAAAGCCAAAGTCAGAGTTGGATTACCCTCATTTAGGTCGTGTCCAGCAATACCAACCAGTGAGAATTTGGCTTTTGTCTTCCCCAGTTCTACTGCATAATTGCAATTCTCAATCTAAAAATAAATGTTACGTGTAAATAATGAAAACACCTTAATACTTCTACAATACAGGCCTATAATCTATGTGTATTTCAAATTACTTTGGCTTACTGTTACCTATGGTGAGATGTGGAGCTAGAGAAAGATTTCTAGCCTTTCTACACCATGATTAAAATAACAGTTTTTACTATAAATGCAAGTATGCAAGATTCCAATGATAATCTTTTTTTCACTCTTGAGAAAACCAAGTTCACTTCCAATAAAGTCAATGAATTGATGTATACTTACATCAAAACTGAATTTGGAAAAATATTGAAATGTGTTGCTCTTAGACAGTATTTTTTCCTCTGCATCTCTAGCTTCCTAATGATCAGAAAACTAACTGAAAGCTTGGATTCTGCAAGTCTTGCACAAATTTCCTGGCAGCACACAAAACTGCTCTGTGAGGAAAACACCTCACAATATAAGAGCATCAGGCAGCAACAGCTATGTTAGGCCTGAAACTTTTACTTATATACCCTAATTAGACCCTAAATTAAACATTGCCAAAAGGTGTCTGCATTTAGAAACTAAAGTGATACATGTTATAATTGCTATTTATTCCTTGGGATAACATCTGGAAGATATTTTTTCCTTTTTTTTTTCCCCAGGACTGTCTCAGTAGCATGCAAATCTGGAAAATCCAGATTACTACAAACAGCACAATGGGAGACAGTGAAACTGCACTGCACTACAGAGTATCTACCCACCTTTTTCATATTACCACCAAGTAATGGATAAGGAGGTTTGTTGACATGGCTCCAGTCAACCAGCACACGAGTCATATCGTACAATTGGAAGATTATTAAAGCATCAGAGAGGTCACTAAACCAGAGTAAAACAATGTTTTTAAGTACAAATGCTCATATTCATAATGAAAATGTTACAAACTTGAGACTTCTTGAAGTGTAATTAAGATGATCAAAAATTCTAGTCATATAAATAAAAATTTTTATTGTTCTGTGGAGAAAGTGGCCTATACCCTATTGCTTGATTTCTGTGATTTACATAAAATTATCTATTTAATGTAATTATTTTCACAAATCTCAGTGAAGCACAGCCACTAGTTCTAACAACTTGAAATAACTGCTTTCATATGGTAGGAATACATAAAGCATTTAGCTAAAGAGTTTTCATTTATTGATCTAGTTTTAGTTTCCTCAGGACTTCCCAAAATGTTAAATACTCATGATTTATCTGCACCTACAGATAAAGAATAATCAAAACTAATATACTTATCTTGTGAAAAAAGAATATTACGAAAAGTATTATTTTCCCATTATAAATTGCAGTCCTGATAATCCCCTTCAGCTACTTGCTAAATGAAACTCTTCATGTTAAGCTATCTACAACAGATGGTATCACTTTACAGAGGTCAGAAAAAACCCCATGAAATCTAACAGCAAGTATACATGCAAGCAGGTGTTCCTAGTTGCTCCCTATATCCCATCTTTTATTGATAGATTTGAATCAATTGCTGGCACAATTTGAAAGTGATCAGAAGCATCTAAAAAGCATGCTAAAAAGCCCTTCATTTTGAGGGCATACCACACTGCATAGATCCTTACAGTCTACTCAGCAGACACCTATCCTCTCTTACAGTTTAGAATTACATGACTGTTTTAATAGGTTTGCAGTCATTTCATCTGTTAAGAAAGAAAATAACAATCATGCATTATAAAACACAATTATCTCAGCTTTTTAAAAAATGTAATTCAAAGTACAAGTAAGTGAGTGGAGCGTATCAAAATGTTTTAGGTTTTCTAGTATTTCTAGATCATGAGTGGAATACCTGAGTCAGATACTGCTTAATACAGTTCTACAGACAAGTTTTTAAGTTCCTATCACACTGTGTGGAAACATGGAAATCACTATTCTAGTAGAAATACAACTTCACTTTCTTCCCTTCTTCTTCCTTCCCCTGTCATCTAAGGGAAATATAACTGTTGTTTTAAAAAGAAGCCTTACCTGTATAAATGATTAACATATGGGCTTACACCCAGTGAATTCATCCAGTTTCTGAAAGTCCTTTCTTCCTTACTTTCTCCTATGGTGACAAATACAATTCTATATAAATTATTGGAGAAAACACTTCAATAACCACTATTTAAATGACTCATACCCCACCCCGCCTCCCAAATATGAGTTCATCTTTTCCCTAACAGTAGTCACTACTGTCTACTAAGTTGAGGCAATCCTATCAAATTCAGAACCCTTCAGTTCTGGGCACAAGGCAAGAGGCACTACAGGGAATACTATTAGATTGCATTTTTGTGTGTAAATACAATTCGATAAAATACAGACATAGACAGTTTGTTGGTTATATCTTAGATAATTAATACATCATTGAGAAAATATTGATGATTAATAATAATTTTTTAAAACCAAAATCAGTGGAAACTGCATTCAACAGTATCTTTAAATCTGTTTTAAAGGGCATATTTTTATTAAAAGTTAGTACAAACACACTTACTGCAATTGCATCAAACTCCAGAAACTACAGCTCCACTTCTCTCCACACAGAAGTTCCCAGTATTAATTTGGGAAGGTCCTCCTCAAAGTAATAGACCTCACCATTTTAGTTTTGAACGCTAGAGACTTAGGAAGGCAGTATTGTATTGGTTAAATTTGTGAAGCTATTTATACTGCCAAGGGGCTAGTTATTCTTGCAGTTTTAACTAGCACCTCTGCTTATGAGAAATGCAGAAAATTCAGTAGGAAAAAACACCCCCAAACAATAACAACCTTCTCATTTTCGTGTTTTAGATTGTTTTTATCTATTGTAATCATGAGTCCTAAACTAACGCTCTTTCTCTATAAAGTTAGTTTGCCATAATACATTAATTTTCTATATACAACATTATCTAAATTTTAACAACGTATCTGTGGCCAATTGCATGTGAATCAGTGCTGCATAAGCTGTTTTCTCTTATATCAAAGAGCAGCATTTAAGAAAATATTTAGCCTGAATACGTGAGCTTGGAATAACCTCATCTCTTTGCTCTCCCGGGCTGATAATCCCCAGGTAAGAAAACAGAAAGCACATTATGGAGGGAAAAAACCTCCCTAAACAAGGAAAGAACAGATTTCTCAGGACTGAAACATGTAAAAGTCTGAGTAAGATTTTTTTCTTTGCTTTTTTCATTTGTTCCTTAGAGGATAACAGTACCGAGTCTGTCTAATGAGGTTTGTGTAGCATGAGAACTGTCTAATTTAGTACTGCAGTTCTATGTTGACTACAGAACAATGAATGTCTCCGCAAAATGAAGCTACTGTATGAACATGTATTTATCATTAGAATAGAAACAAAACCTCTTTAATATTATTTTTCCATGAAATAGACCTATGTCATAACATCAATTTTTAGATAGAGATTACAAAAATTACCCTTTTATACAAAAAGCTCTTGGCTTCAAAATACATTTATAAAAAAATTAAATTCTGAGATTTCAGTTGTAATTGACATTTTCCAACAGATATTTTATTTTAAAAGTTTCAGCCAGCTTACCAGTTACTTTCCAATTATGAAATAGATCATATTCATCCTAGTGATATATTTTCTTTCTAAATTATTAGGTCTTTCATATGCAAATCAAACTAGTATTTGTTTCAAAGATTAACTTGTAAAAGTTACCAAAGAGGCACTGATTAATATGTGCTGAAACAAAGAAAAACACTATTCTGCAGGGTATTCAGGCAGTCAGCTTTGTTTCACATATTTCTTCCCGCAAAAAAATTTCAGACAAAAAAATTCACATTTTATGACAAAGTTATTAAAAATATCTGTGTTTTTCGATTAAAAAGATACAATCAAAATACAAGCAGGATATACAATTTCAGTTTATGAAGAGTAATTTAAGAGGTTATAGTCTCTTGAAGCAAGTCTCTCTTGCTTTTTTCTTTTTTGAAGTTTTTAGACTTACTGAGCTTTGAGTTTGTTTGCAATAACTAAAATACTGACTGCAAAGTGCTTTTAGGAACACTTCTCCATTGCAAAGACAGTAACAAGATTATTTAATGAACTCTTATTAATCAAAGTGTAGCTACAAAAACAGATACCCAGCAACTGCTCTCAGACTGAGAATTTTAAAATGCATGCTTCGCACTGTTGAAAGACTCCAAAGCAGCCAAGCAGGAGCAAGAACATGCAAGTTGGGCAGCACTCTTTCGGATAGCAGGAATTCACACACTAAACTCAGCATACTATATTTAATATGCCACTCTAAACAAACTCCTTTTTCATGCAACACATAAGCGTTCATAAGTTTTCCAGATGGCTGAGAACTGACCAATTTTTTTCTCTCTATTCTTTTATTCGAAATATACCTTGTGATCCTATCAGGAACATATCTTCTGCTGAGTGGTGCAGCAGATAGCCAAAATCATTGGAAAACTGCAGAAAGGGGGCAGAGCTACACAAAAGAGAGAGGAGCAAATTTGGTAGTATCCTTTGTATTTATTGCCATCTCTTTCTTTGAGATCATTATACTATGGAACTGAGTGGGGAACAGCGATAGGGATGGGGTCAAGAATCCAAAGGGCTCCAAACACCTATGATTCTCTCTGGAAGACAACAGAGCTCAAGATGCAATTTGCACCCTAAGTTCAGCTGAGTGGGAGTAGTTAACCCTCTCGTGGTAACAGCCTTGAAGGCTGCCAGTGGACTAAGGAACAGCAGCAGAGGACATCTACACTGGAGGAAATATGGGTGGACAGAAGTCCCTCCTCTTCCTCCCCCCAAGAACTCAGCTTTCTGTGTGACTTACGACTCCAAACTCTGGTGCTTTTCCCCACCAAGGGAGAGGTTCCTCAGAGTAACAGCAACAGTCAGTTAAAAGTTGTGCATTGACTGAGGTCAGGACTCCCCCCTTCATCCCCACATAATATCAAACGTTCATTTTGCTATGTCAGTAAACTGGAGGGATATGCTCACTGTGTACAAGTGCACATCACCAGACTTGTTAAGTATTACCAGAGCAGATGTCAATTTATGCACAGTGTCTTAAATCAAAGAGAACAGCCACATCATACTCTTTGGGTGGAACAGTCACTGAACAGATGAAATTTATGCAGGAAAATTAAGACTTTCAGAAAGCTCTACTCACCCACGCATGCCTAGAGCTTTACATCTTGGTTCATGGAAAGCCCCTACTGATTAAACCCACAAAAAGAACTATATGGCATTTGACTTACTGCAAGTCCTGCCCCCATTTTATACACATCCTGTTAGATCTGTGGGTTTTTTTTTCTTCTACTTATGACGGCATATTAAAACAATAGAAAAATACCAGAACGATGCAAAAATCAACCAGAAAAGGACAGAGATGATTAAAATACTAGCAAAAAAAGAGATTGCAGAATAAACACTTTTATGGAGTACAGAAAAATACTAAATACAGTACCTACATTAGGAGGTGTCAAATCTGCATTTCATGAAGCAAAATAGGAAAGCATTATAAATTATGAGTCACATTTCAACACACAATCTATGATGAAACTATAAAGAAATGAATATTGTATTTTATATCACTACCTTGAGAAAACATCAGTAAAACCATAGGATTTTATGGAAAAAATAAAACAAATTAACAGAAAAAAACACATTAACAACATCATCTTTTGGCTGAACTAATTATTTTGATAGTTTAGATCTACATGACACCACATTATTTGGGGGCAAAGGAGAGTCATCTACTTGCCTTTGAACAGATAAAGATGGATAATCATGCCAATGTCAAAATGTACACTATAAACAGTAAGTTAAATTTGGCCAGTATTTATCATTACAAAATCGTAAACTAGCATTCAGGAGATTGTAACTTTTTACAAACTGTTTTAGTTGAGACTTTGATCTCATCTAAATATTTTAGGAAAGTTCAGAAAGTAGTTCAGCTGGTTTTTGCCATGCCAATTGGAACTCTTCTAAATTTGACCAAGTTTTCAGTATTTCGAATTACACTTGCTACTTTATGTTGAGAATAGAGAAACTGAACTGACCATGTTCCACCTCCACACAGCTCCTGTATACATTTCCAAGAGCATACATTTCTAGCAAAATTGCAGCAGAGGAAGAGCAGGCCTTTTCTTCAATCACTTGGCCTGGGCACCAGGGACTGCAGTGACTAGGGATATCACAGCTGTAGAGGGAAGACTACCTCCTGTGCTCTGACACCTCTACCACAGCTGGCACCCAGTTGAAACTAGAAGAGCAGGAAGACTGAAACAGGAGTGGTCTGAGGGATACAAGATTTGTGACACAGGGATGCAGCAGAACAGATAAATCATGAAAAGAAGAGGAGCAAAGGAAGACGGACTCACCTAGATGGAAAGGAAACCTGATAGGAACAGTAAGAGGAAGGCAGGAGTAGGCAGTGCAGAGGAATGTGTGAACATTGCTGATGATTCTCCCGAGTGCAGCACCCCTGATTCTCACCATTCCTTTGAGATCAGTGAACAACTGAAATACACTGGCAGGAGCCATTTCATTATCCTAGATTAGCTGGTCCACAGAAAGGGTAATAGCCAAAGACTGCTACCAATTATCCCTTTATCTCCAGCATTAGGGATCTGAACTGTAGAGTTAAAGTCCAAACTTGCTGACATTCTAGGATCTATATAGGTTGCTGATGCGATATATTAATATAGGTTGCTGATACAGAAGCCTTTTTTAAAAATGTTTCCTGTTTTGAAAGGCAACAAACTAATACACACACACATATAAACACAATAGGTGAAAAGTACTTTAAAAGACTATTACAGTTGAATAGTATAGCATTGCAAATTAGGAAAAGCTAGAATTTGTACATCAGCTAAATTAGAAACAGTATTGAAAGCAGCGTAGGAAACTGGAAAGGGAGTAAGAGTACAATTTTTGCTCGTGCAAATGAATGGTAGAAGGTTATTCAGGAATAGCCTTTGGTCAGGTTAACACAAGTGAACAACATTCACAGTAACAGGGACTTCTACTAAGGTTTATAGTGAAAGCTAGTAAGAAAGCTCTATATGCTGGTGTTAACACAGACACCATCACACAGGGATCCTATACAACAACCTAGAAGGAATACTTAAATAGAAATCACCAATATTCTTGTCTCCTGTATGCTTAGTAAGTTGAATACCTTCTAATAAATTGAGATCGTAAGATGAATTGTCAGGCTTGTGTAGGGCTGGATATGTGTTAAAGAGATTTGCAACAAAAGCCAAATTGAGTTTAGGGTTGCCTGCAACCACATCAGCTGGAGTTACAAACTGTCTGCAGCCCAGCTTATCTGCCTGTTGGAGCATGTATTCAGCCCTCCTCAAGTCATTTTTATCCTAAAAGAAAAAAAAAAAGATTAATTTATAATGAATACTAGCATGTTTACATTCTTTACTGAACCTTCAGTCCGGCAAATCTTTAAATGACCCATGTCAGTTCTGCCCACGCCTGAGCTAGCTCTTACAGCCCGTAACAATTCCCCTCTTCCCATCTTCCTTCCACTTTCTTTCTATCCTTTGCTTTGGTGGCTGCCTGTGCAGTACTCCTCATGAATCACAGCAACAGCAGTAGCAGCCAGAGGTGTAGCGGTTTTATTTCCTTTTCCAGGTTGTTGATTCCCCCACTGCATATTCTACTACATATGCCAAAGGTTCACCATCACTGCTTTAAATTGATATTCTCAAGCATAGTAGTTACAGATGATGCTCAAAACGCTCAGTAAGAGTTTGAATGCTGCAGAATGTGATAATCCACTATGTTGCTTTCCTTTTAATATTTTTGCCTCTGAATTGTCTTAAGTTGGTAATCTATGTGTTATTTTGTTTGTCTTTATTATTAATCTACATAGAATAAATCGGTTTCAAAGCCATGTAGCATATACTTTTTGCCTCTAATCTTCACAATGCTATGAGTTACTATTTATAGGGAAATGAGTTAGTAATTAAATTACTGTTAGAATTCAGTAACAGTCAGTAATGCAGCATTGGTACAGTTAACCAGCAACTTGCTCTATAACAAATGAACATGTTATTGATACTGGTTTATAACCCATTACTGAACATGATCATACGAACTGTAGGAAATTACATGGAAAAAACTAACTACTATCCTTTCTCCCCCAAAAATCCCAAACCAAAAGCAAACAGAGCTCTGCTCCTGAAGGAGCTTAGGAGAACTAAAGCTTGTAAGCAAACATAATTTTGCATGTGGGTTTTCATTATTATAATGAATAACCAGATTCTGCTTAAGAGTCTGATTGATATATAGATATCTATGTGTCAGGCAGGTAGTTCAATTTTTTTATCAAATGCATTCTCAGAATAATCCTTCCAGCAAGCATTATGTTGCAGCTTAGAGAAGTGTTTCCACATCTACCTCTATCCTTTTACAATTTAAAGCTTGATTGATGCCACACTTTCCTGCTGGTTATTGGAAAGCTTTACACATTATTTCTGAATGCTATTTGGTTTGAGGAAGGATCACAAGGTTTGTGAAGTCTACTTGTTTTCCTTGACCGAATTCCAGAAGAGCAGAACTGAGCAGGATGTTGTAATATTCATGTTGGAGGACCCAACTGAAAACAAAAATCAGTTAGACACTACTCCAAGTAAAACACAGCTCCAAATTTTAGACTACAGAATGCATTATCCTGTTTCAGTAGCACTCTGGAACTTTACTCAAGTTTTTACCCATTTAAACTCTTGTGACATTGAGGAGTCTGACCGCACTTTTGTATGCTTTACAAAACAAAAGAGGAATCTGGGACAGCCTTGTAACCAGGATGTTGGATACGTAGAGGTCTCAGACAATTCCAGTCTATTTTTACATTTCTGGATACTTACATGAAATCCTGAAAAGTCGATTTTAATGGACAATTCATCAAGGTCATCTCCTTTGGGTGCAATCTGATTTAACAGATGGTAGTATGCTCTTGAATCCTAAAACAAACAGTATAGTACTTTAAAAAGAGCAAGTATGTAGCCTTTCATAGCCATTTACTGCTCTTATAGTCCAATTCAAAACCCACAGAATTAAAAAATATGGCAGTCTAATTTCAGTGAATATGGATGAGGTCAATACCACCATTTTACCACACTATTTCACATAGAACTTATTTAGCCAGATAACAAAGAGGAATGTCCACTACTTATTCTTGACAATGTTAGTTAAATTTATTCTGCTGGATATGAACTAGACAGCTGTAATTAAGATATTTAATACAAATTTATATAGGTTACTCACAAAAAACCCCAATATGGATCTTAATTTCAGTGTTGGTATTTTATTCCTTCACTATCCTTTTCAAATAGACTTTTATAAAAATTTTTTTTCTTAATTGATGAGGTAAGTGGAGTTAAAAGTGGAGAGCAAAGTGGCTCCTTTAGGATGAATCTATAGTGACAAAAGAAATTACATATATTTGATGCAGTTTTCAGTATGCTTCCGAGTTTTTTCCCCACTAAGAAACTAGGAAAATAAAATTAAAACCTGCTAGTTTTAGAAGTATTTAATACTTCTCTTAAATAGCAGGTACTATTTTTACCCTAGTAGCAGTTTTCATATAAAACTCTAGTTAAAGGTTTGCTTTAATAATAGCCTTCTTGATGGCATTTGAAAAGATATAACTAGCAATTAATGACATTGTTTTCTCCAATGGAAAGATGTCTTATCACCTTATAGAATCTTCCTCCTTGGCTTTTAGTTTTAAAAAGTTGGGATTTTCTCTCTTCAACTGGACTTACTACAGTACTTTGCATACTTCATGCAGAATGACTGAAGAAGAGAGAAGAATTATCCAGATCTGTCATCTGCCACAAGGAACCAGCCCGTCTTTCAGTTCCCTTCTGTCAGTAAATTGGCACACTAGCAAAGAACAGTGATTGGAGGGGGGCTGCTCTCTCCTTGGATCAAGAATCAGTAGCTACTCCAGACTGCCCTCTGAATAATTGTTCTTTCCTCAAGAGGTTTCCTACTCTCCTGTAGAATGCTAGATACAAAGGGCAATCACCATTAGCAAATATATACCAGGAGGAGATTTGAAGCCATACGCTTCTTATTTAAAACAACTACAGAAAGAAAAGACATGTTTCTGCAGACCCAGGAACAGGGAAGGATGGACTGGAAAAAAGTAACTAAAATGGTAGTGCAAATTATCCTAAATAACTGTAATAACAATCTTAGAACATTAGAACTTCCCTAAATATGGGCTTGTCGGAAATGTTCGCTTTGCACTGTGATGCGATACATAGCATGGGCAACTGAATATGATATGAGAGATCAAAATAATGTTCTTTCAGTGTTAAAAAATACAGGATGAACCTATAGCTAGAAAAAGCCGATTTTTCTAAATACTTCTGAACTGACTCATTTGTTTCTATGCATAGTGTGTTTAAATTCCATTATGTTCAATTATCAGAGTGAATAACTACATACCTTAATATCTTGGCTGAAGTTACTGATTTTCTTCCACCCTGCATTGGCCAGATGGTAGTTAACCCAGCGTAGCAAGAGCTCTTCTGGGGAAAGCTTCATTAACTGATCCAGTTCTTCCCCTTCATTTAGCAAGGTGATAAGAGCTAAAAGCAAGTTTGAAAGAAAGCTGAAGTCATTGCTATTGTGGTCTCAGTTAATTCCAAATTGCTGACATGGCTATACCTGGCATTACTCTTACCTTCGTTTCTGGAGATCTCAATATCAGCAAAAAGACCAACTTTAATGATCTGCCACAACAATCCTAATACCAAGTGTGGTTTTCCTTCTTGCAGATCTTGTGATCCAATATTGACAACCGTACAGCCAATAGCAGATGCTGAGTTCAGAGCCAGGTTTAGGTTTTCCTATTTGGAATATCATTGTTTAACAAATCTATGAGGTTATAATTCTTAGTAAATTTGCTCATATTAAATTCTGTAAGTTCCAGAACTTATAAGAAATGATGCATTAGTTTAATGGTTCCCAGTGGAAAACTGCACTCTGGAGATTTTTTTTTTTTGTGAATCACCACGTATCTTTTCAGAGTTTAATGGAAAACATTATTGACAGTGTTTAATATGGACCCACCAAAAAGTCGTGGACCACCTTCTGCAGCTTGGATCACTGAGGAATACTCTAACCAAATATTTTTTGTAATTCATAAGTATCACATACTCAAATCAAACAATATTGATGAAATATCAGGGGCTTGATCCTGTGGAAAAATGTGCTCATATGGAATTCTGCCCTGTGCAGGAGGCTGCTGACATCACTGTCATCCCATCTTGGATCTTATAGATGCTGACACATTTATTCAAGCAACTGTTAAACTGTAATTGAACAGACAGCATAAGAAAATCACGACAATTCAACATTCCGACACTGAAGGTAAAGGTAGTGATTGTCACAGATGAAACACTCCAAGAAAAAATACCTGGCAGCTCTCGTAAATACTACTCTCTATTTTCTTGTGTCATATTTTAACTATCTACAGAGACAACAAAAACACATGTAGTATCATCTGTGCTGACACATCTTCTTTAAGTAGAGATTATGAAACCCACTTGGAGGATTGAGAACATGGTATGTTCTAACTTTTCATATTTTAATGTCACAGCCTGAAATGAATAGTCTGCCAATTAATTGAGGTTTTTAATCAGGATTTTTTTTTCCCCTCATTAGGCTGGTAGTTTACAGATCTACTTCCCTCTACTAGACCTGTTTTCTTATACTGAAACTAAGGTCTTAAAAAATTGTTTCTCTCAAATATTTTCATTACTTCATACACAATTAAAAATGGAGATTCTCATCTTCTGTCCAAGCCGTTCTCCACTACTGAAAATGCATCATTCTACCATACAGTATACAGCCATGCAGATACTTTTTGCATTGCTAAAATACGACCTGACCATCCACTCAGAAGTCTAAAATTATTTTTTTCAGATACTTAGTAAAGCAAAATGAGAATAGCGAATAGGGCAATGAAAGAATTAAGGAAAGCACAAAAAATACAAGTTTTCCTGTAAATCATCTAAGAAACAGCAGACTTCAGTAGAGTTTATTAGAAAAAACAATTTCATGCTTTGACTTTAATACATACTTTAGGTTTTTTTTTTCCTGTTTCACTGGGAGAACTGTCATTAAAACAAAGCTATAGAAAAATATTTCACTTTTTCATTTGTGGCAAGTTCCTATCTGTGCAGTACTTACAGAAATAGTGAAATGAGTGAGTTTCTTCTTATTAATAGCCCTTTCATCAATTGTATCTGGTTGTGAAAAGTTGATCATTTTGCTGAGGAAGAAAAGTCAAGAATTTATTCAAACTTTCATTTCTCAGAAAATATATTATTTGATTATAAACTCCTAACACTTTAAACTAGCTGTAAATATTTCTGACAAGATTAAAACAACCACTTCATCATCTAAATCTCCTCTCCCTGTTAAATAATTGCACATTCATCCAGAAACCCCCAGATAATACATAATTATAAGAAACTTGAGCAATTGGGGTTTATATTTAAATAACAGAGCATGTCTGTGCTGTCAAAAAAAGTTCTTTAGTTTACAGTTTTGATCTTCTCAAATCAGTTAAATCATCTCTAGTGAAAATCTTTGTAATATAATCAATATATTTTTTCACTACGTCTATAGTATCTTGCATCTACAAGGATCTCAAAGACTAATTCACATCAACACTAATACGCTAATCCCTTGTTACCATGGTGTATGAATAAGTACTATTAGTCTACTTTAACTAGAAAGTTACAGCAGACTAAAGTTAAGGGGATCTACTACACACTCCCTGTTTTGCCACGGATTTAATTCATATTTCTGTTCCTCTCATCTTATGATTTAGTAACCACATTTGGTAACTTCTAAAAAAATATTTGAAATAGCAAAGTTTTCCAATTATTTCAGCTAATTAATAAATGAACTGTTGCATAATCTCCTTTATAAACAGCCTGCACATATCTGACATGTATAATCATGGGTTTGAAGTGGAAACTCACTTCTATAATATATGCAGAGTCACATAAACACTTCGCTAAAAATAACATTTCTATGGGCAAACAGATTTTCCCCATCTTACACATTGGCTGAAATATTTAAGAGTGGAGTCTTGATGTTAAAGTCTATCAGAAGTTTTCCAATTCATGTCACTGTGATCAGCATTTAACCTTTGAGATTAATTTCTTTTCTTTCTCACTGCCTGGACTCACCAAAGAAGGATGCCATCTGCAAGGGATTTAAAAAGACTGGCATCTGATGGGTTCATAGGTAGGAGGTGCTTACAGTCTGGGTCATCTTGTAGAGCTTTATTTATCCAATTAACAAAAGCAACTTTTTCTTCCTCTGAAAAGAAAAACAGCATTAAAATAATCTATTATAATTTCCATGAACATGTGCTACTGAACACCAAACCTGGGTCACAGAGGTTCATCTGCAACAAAATCCCTTAGTTTCACAGGGGTCAGTTATGGAAAGAATCAGACCAGTGGGAAAGAATGCAAAAGATGGCAAGTACAGACTGATCTTTCTCCTACTGCACCCTCTAATCATCTGGTGATTTTCTGAAGGAGAACATAAAAATCATAGCAACATAATGGGGAAGGTATCATCGTGTTTCTCAGCAATTACAATGAAAAGAGGCAAATTTGTGATCTAAAATATGCAACATCTCAATCTATACACTGCTGATTTAAAATGCAGCATTTCATTCTGCCTTCCACTAGGACTTCAGAGTCTGGCAGTATTTTTTGAGATTATCATCTGGATTACTGTACTGTATTCAGCTTTGAGAAACTTTAAAAGTTTAGCACTTCAGTTTTAAATTCTCTTTCATATTTAGTGCAGAATTCATTACTATTTATCTAAGAATGTTTATGGGGACAACAGTCGATTAAGTATCAGTATCCAAATGTCCAGACAGTACAGGTGGTATTCACCTCACTAAACTCAAGAAGCATATAAAACAGGTACCTAGACCTGACTCATTACACTTCTTTCATTGTCAGCAGAAAGAAATGGGAAATTCTATTGCACACTTCATCTCATCATAAACTAGACGGCTGATGAAGCCAGGTCAGATGAATTGCACTGTAGTGGGGTTGGTTCCTCTCCACCAAAAATGAAAGGGAGTCTAAAAAATTAGCTCTGATGGTGTCCCCCCCTACAGGCATCCTTTGAGATGGATTATATCCGCCACTTTGGAGATACAGCAAGTGCAGCTGGTGCTATAAGGGTAATACTGACAGAGAAGGTGTCACCATCTTTAGCTAACTGAAGTGAATCTTCCTCATACACAGAATCTTAACACACTTTTGGAACCACAGCAAATCCCAGACTCAAGTCAGTCAAAAAAGTTGCAATATTGCTTATTGCAATATGATCCCGGAAGGTGGTTAACATTCTGACCAGAAGCTGCAACGCAATTAGGCATAATTACCAACTTAAAAGACACGCAGCAGGGGGAGGTAGAAAGAAACAGAGATCAAATGTTAAAAGCAAGTTCTCAAGTACGAGATAGGCTATGCAAAATTCATATGGAAGTGAACAACTCTGTAATGGCAGAGACAGCTGAGGCTGCCCTTCCATCCAGAAAGGATATGTGGGTTGTTTAGGTTTTGGTTTTTTTAGTTAACTCTGTGGAAATGAAAATGGGGATTCATTTTTATCTGAATATAGGAATAGGAGTAGATCAGCATGTAACCAAGCCAAAAACTTGACTAGCATTACTAGAAGTATGCCAAAGGGGTCATTTTTATTTTTTTCCCCTCCCACATGCTGTTAGTGCTTGTTTTCATTTTTTTGTCTCACAGATGCGTAATTTGCCTCCGAATGCAGCATGAAACTAACAACTGAACAGTGCACATTTTAATAAACTACCACCCACACTTATCTTGTCCATCTCCACATGCTTTCTTTGCATTAATTTGCTTTCAACAGCAACATTTTCCAGTTGTTTTTTTCTTCGTCTGTAGTGCAAATTTAAAGTCTTCCTCCATGCAAAATTTGCTTGTGTTTAATCATTTCTTACCGGAATAAGAGTGCTGTGTCCCCTCACTAGATATTGCTGATGTTCCTCCAATTGCTGTAATACCTTGCTTTTTGTTTATTGATTTTCGGAAAGATTTGCTGACATCTTTACTTTTCAATTCCTGAATTATCTGGCATAAAAAATAAGAAGTATTTTGTGATTGATTATACCTTCAAATAACTGTTAATTTATGTAAGTACTCTAGAGTCAGTAGTTAACCTGAGTGCCTTTCTTTAGTATTTACATTGACTTCTGTTCTGAAAAAGAAAATTTACTGTATGGGTAACACTAGTTTAAATCCCTTCATGAAACCTTGCTTACTGGATATCTAATGCATTATTTCTCAGTGAGTACCTCAGGTGCTACCTTTATTAAGCCATGCTATCTAAAAAAGTAGACACTCAACAATCTACACAATTTTTCCACAGATATTTTGGTAAACTGAAGAAAACAACTAAAGATACACACATTTTCAATGACTATAGCATATATCTTCCACTTACATCATATGCTTTACAGGAAAAGGTTACTACATGACAGTTACACGTGTCCTTAAGCAAGCTGATACCATTTTCCATCTGCCTGCAATGTAAACCACATTGGGCATACTGTTATGTCCTAGATTTGCCCAAATACCGTAGAGGTCTCAAGACAGACAATGAAGTTTAAGTAACATATACAGTTCGATACCTGGATGCAAATATTTGCACCTCACCTGTGAACCACTGCAAATTAGAATCATGGAAAGAAAGATCAGTAACTAGTTCAACAAGCAACCTGCTGCAATTAGCAGCAGTACTCTAAATTAAAAGCAAAAACTAATCATCCCCAAACACACACACAGAGCCTGAAAAGTTTTTGCTTCTCTTAAATAAAGCACACTAGTGAGTGATCTACATTAAACAAAAGTCTAAACCTTTCAAATTTGTCCACTAAAAGTGAAAAACTGTACCTCACTCCCAGTAAAAAATAGCCTTTAGTATAGAGATTAAGTATAGTAGCACAAGCATCAATTTATCACTAAGAGAATTCAGAGGCTGGCATCTAATTATCTGTTCTTTCGTCAGGGCAAGGACTGACCCAACAGTTCTTAAAACATGTAGTCCATCCCCTCATCTTTCAGGAAATAGAAAGTAGGACTGATTAGAACTACTGGGCTCTCACATGCTGCCCAAATGAGATCTAGGAAATTAAATAGGAGAGTAAAATATAAAGGCTGGAAAATAATCACATAGGATATTGTAAATTGTCACAGAAAACTTTCCCACTCTCAAAATATTAGTTATTTGTATTAAAATAGTACTTAGTTGTACCACTTAATTGAGTTTCCTATCCTAGTTCTCAACAGACATCAGACAGTAGAGAAACATCCAAAGGGAATGTCTTACAGAGACAAATTCTTCAAAGTTGATTTTCCCGTCCTTGTTGCTATCTGTCACTGCAATGATTTTTTCTACAATCTCCCGGACTTTGTAACCGGGCAAGGGCAGACTTGCTTCTTTAAATAGGTCTTGGAGCTCATAATCACTGACATACCCACTGTTGTCAATATCTGTAAAATGAAAGCACAAGTTGTTTTTATAGTTATGTAAAGAACCAAGTATAGTAACTGTTAAGAATAAATAAAGTGTGAGAAACAGTTCTAGGAGATGAGTATTTCTTCTTCTGACATAGATAAATAAGCATGTAGAAGTACTTGTGGATTATAGGCACAAGTGGCTAGGAGTCATGCTATCTTGTTACGTATTTTCTCAGGAACTATTTTATAATCCCAAAGCACAGCTATAACAAGATGGCGAATTTGTAAATAGCGAAGTGTAAGCTTTTGTTAAGACTCCCAACAAAATTCTCTATAAACCTTCAAATGAAAGGGAGATCAATTATTATATTCTTACTGTAGATCCTATACCATTTGCAATCAGTAAACTCATATCTGATGCAAGATGTTATTAGAAGAGCATACTTACACAAGAAAAACAAGAACTCTGCCTAACTCTGCATTTTGTTTCTTATCCTAGTATCTGATAGACATTTTCTGTTTTTCAAAACTTTCGATGTGGTTAGACTTGCCTGTGAAGAATATCTGTATCTGTTTATTAAAGGTGACCTTCCTTAATCTATTAACTAGCTCTGTTGTGAGCAATTTGTACTGCCACCTTCACTCATACTTGGCTCCTAAGACCGCATGTCAGGAACGTCCACATACAGCAAAGTATCAGAATGCTTTTTTCAACAAGAGATACAGTATAGCTCCACAATTGTGGGAACAAATGAAAGCATGTATCACGTAAAAATAAATTAAGAAAAATTCAGTATCATTTGTGTTACTCATGATGAATAATGCAGCAGCACAGAAGAAATCATAAAAATACCCTTTGTACTTCCACCTTAGGCCAATTCATGTACAGACAGCTGTCCTGAATTCTTGTCTTAGTATGATAAAGCAGCATTTTACAAACCTATGTTTTTATCCAATGTAATCCATAAATGAATCAAACACATTAACTGTTCCTAATTTGTTTATATCTATGCATATTTCCATATATATGTATATATATACACCTATACAAGCAGAATTTGAGAATGTCCATTGAAACAGCCTTACCTGTACCTGTAATGCTGGATACAGTAGTGCAACTACTGTATCCAGCATAACTAGTGCTGGATACAATGCCCATCATTTTATATATTTAATGCTAATTTCCATGTTTGACAACAATTTTCAGTCTCTTTCATGATCACATTAAAGCTCTTGGAAAATATGAATTAATAGTATTTTCCCAGTTCTACAAATGATACGTTTAAGACAAGTAATTTAAGAGAACATCACAGGTAACACAAGTCAGAAACAGAAGCGAGATGATGTGACCACTTCTCTGACTTGTCAAGGTGCTCCCACTCTTGTTTTCATTTACTAGTTAAGACACCTCTCTTCAGATTGTCTCTAGTATCAGAACTCAGCCAATAATACCAGAGTGGATAAATACGCATCACATTACAGAAGGTACAGAAACATGTTTTCATCTCTAGCCATAATTGATTGCTATACAGTACTTTCCCTGTAATCCATACTATACTACGTAGCTTCTGTACAGCTTCATAAGACAGCCACATTTCACTGCTGACAAAAGGCTAAAAACAACTGTTAAAAAATACCTCTTTTTTGTGTTTTTGATACTATCAACAATTCACAAATCACTACACAGACAAACTTTATGTCTGCATATGTATTCATCCACTATCTCGCTTGCAGATGAGTAACAACACACGTAATAACAGGGATGGTCAGAGCACATGCTCACGAGCTGACTCAGATTACGAGCTATTTTATTTTCTCTAGGTTCATCTTTCACTGAAAGCAAGTTTCCATGAAGACATGCAGAGAATTAAATACGTGCTTTTTCTCTAGTTTACCAATATAACTGCAAGCAATTTATTCATAAAAACATTGGAAATGTAAAAATGAAAAAGGAAAAAAGCTAATGATGCTCGATTTCTATATTTTATAGAAAGCATAATACAGTAAAGGAAGAAAATGCTTTGCACTGAGTAGGAGCAGTACAGACAATTCTTAGATCAGAAATGTGAAAATATGCAGGAAGGAAAGGGGGGGGGGGGGGGGG